CGACGGCAACAGTAATTGTTTGAAACGACGTCGTGCACCTGTGCAGTGTCACATTTCTGAGACCTGACTCAATGACAAACCCTAAACCCCCAATCCTACAACCATGAAAGTTGGCATTCGAAGCGCCTCCATCTACCGGCTCGGGCACAGACCCCGACAGCGTTGTTGAAGGAAGCCACATCCCAAGCTCCTGTGGGCTAAGGTTTAGGCCAAGGGCTAGGGGCTCGGGTTCTTGCGCCCAGAAAGTACAGCTACGAATCCCTCCTTCGAGAGCCCTGTGAAACTGAGGGGAATCCAGTTTAGGGATGAGCTCTCATTGAGCAGAGCAGATGAACTATCTCATGACCAAATCATGGCCCGAAAGTCGCAACCGCTCCTAGCCCTCCCGAGCCTCAAATCCTAATCTCATCTCGGCATGCTTAGCTCTGATTTTTTGTAGGTGCACACTGAAAGCCCAAAGTTCGAAGCCTTTTTCTACAATCCTAATGCCACCTAGCCTAAATTCTGACCCCTCCAACCTTTCTCCCTAAAGCCTAAAGCCCACACACGCCTCAAACCCCAAAACCCTACACGCCGCAGAACTTCCCAAACTCCAAAGCCCTACACAAACTTTTGCGAACCCAAGTGAACCCTAAACCCTAAATCCAAGTGNNCCCCCCCCCCCCCCCCCCCCCTATAAAGACCAAAATCAGCGCCTGGCTCGGATCTTAGCAGCGCCAGAGGAAGGCGCCAAATGCCACTCCTAGGATCGCGACTGAGGCAAGCGCTTCCCTTTGAAGCTTTACGAATTTAGGGTTTAAGGCTTTAGGGTTTGAAATGGTTTAGGGTTTAGGGGTTTTGGGGTTTGGGGGTCCAGGGTTGTAGCGGCCTTCATATCTACTTGGAGACGCGAAATAATGATGATTACTGACTAGATTCCTTACTCCAGAGATCTTAAAATCACTACCGCCATGCAAGATACCCCATTTCTAAATGAAAGCGGCCGAAACAATGGGCCCCAGAATACGGGGATAGTACTCCAAGAGCCAAGGCGCCTCTGGCAGGCAGAGAGGACGGAGATGTAGCAAAGAAGGCCGGTGGTGAGTTGCCGCTTCGGAATTTCCTTCCAGGATGTTGTCTCATGCTAGGTTCTGTTGTGTGCTCTGTGATATGGTGCTGGGTTCTTGTAACTGTGCTATGTCATGCAAAATTATGGTGTGTTGTGTCCAGCTGTCCATCTGCATAATGCATACATGCATGCATGCACATCTTCTCACATCTTGGCGGATTCAGATTGTGGGCGTGCAATTGAGCTGCAAGTGGCTTGTTGTAGGTATTAGGGACTGGAGTCTGGTCCCAAGTCGCGCCGTGGACTTAAGAATCCCACATGCTCAAATCCCTCCTTATCAGGTGAGGCGTGCGAGTCCAGGACATGTGGTGCTGACCATCGAAGCCCAAACCCTGAATACGTGCAAAACCCCAAAAGCTTACTTCGGCTGCACACCCTTACAGCGTAAGTTTGGGCAAAGGCTTCGAAGCGTCAGCGCCCAGTGTGTAGGCTCCGAGCAACGGAAAAACCCTTCAGGGTTGTGCCAAAACTCATACCTACATAGAGGTCTAAGGATTGGACTAAGGCTAGGGCTTCGCATGTATTGGGAAGCCATGTTGATTGCCGACTGCCACATAAGTCGCTCAATCCTACACCTGGAACCCTAGCAACGAAACCCTTCGTCATAGCGTTGCTAGCTAAGGTAATGGTAGTTGCACATGTAACGTGGGTCCAAATATATATATATATATATCGCCGTACTATATAACCCTGATCCTCCCGCAACTGCTATTGAGCCGCTAACATCTCCTAGGGTTGTTCCGAATCGTTGTACCTGTGAGGCCCCGCAAGATCTATATAGTGAACTACTATTGAAACTAGAGGTAAGTATCTGGCCAGCATGCGCAAGTGAGAGCAACTTCCCTGAAAGGAACGCTGTGTCTTGTTTGTTAGCTGAGCCTTGTCGATGCAGTTTAGGGCTTTAAGGTGCTCAACAAAAGTGTATCGGGGGTATAGTACGCCAACCCCACATCCCAACCTTTTTGCATCCAAACCTTTCTTAACCGAGTCCCGAATCCCAAGACACCGAAGCCCCAATCCCCTCAACCCGAAAACCTTAAACTGTAGCTAACCTGCACCGAAAAGCATATCTTTGCCTCCACGCTATTACTCTGGAGCCGACCCGGCCTTCAACAGGGCCACAGTCATCTGCCACCTGGCACCCCCGGCGACACCAGAACAGTGGATGTGAGGTTGAGGGGTCGACAAGCCGTAGAGTCTATGCGATTTCTTGTCTGGTCAGCTTAATTGACTTTTGGGGATTTCAGGGCTTACAGTGTTACGGTTACAGCTTCAGGCGTGTTAGGGCCTTCACGAGCTTCAAGGTTCAGACGCTAGGAATACGCATGCGGGTGTCTAAATATCACGTATTTATCGCTGGGAGTTTCGGTGGAGGGCTTCGTGATTTCGGCCCCCGAGCCCGGAACCCCAGAGAGATCAAAAGGGCTCTTACTGCCAGGGTTGAACCGTCTGAGACGAACTATGTTTTGTTCTGGAGGCCCGAAGCAAGATGCACTCGATGAGTGTCTGATTGCACTCACTGTTGGCCGTCAACACGCGACACAACTCACGCTAGGCAAGCAGGCATTGAGGGCAAACAGAGCCTATACACAAGACATTTTAGTACTCGAAGTCTGGTTGAGGGCTGAGGGCGCTAGTACTCAGATTCTTCGCTTAAGGAAAAAGCGGGGACAAGCTAAAGTTAAACATTCCTAGATTGGGTCTTCTCAGTAAACCTATATAGCTACCAAATTCCGCGAAGCCGACTACTGGGACGCCTCGGAGGAGCGTAAACGTTCTCAAACCCCTAAAGCCCCGAAGTTCCACCCCGTAACCCTGAACAGTGAGGCTTTAAAGACTCCCTCGTCAAGCCGCCTAAAAACATCGAGATCCTTGTGCTTGCGTCGGGCTTTCAGATCCCGGGCCCTATCATTCAAACCTGATGCCTCCAGAACGTAAACACATACAATTACTATGTGTGTGGGGCGGCTAATCCAAAATCTTAAATGTAGGCCTCAACCCCTGAACCCTAAAGCCCAACCCCCGAAAACTCTGAACCTCAACCCCCAAAACCAAACCCCAAAGTCCTGCTGCTGGTACACCCCTAAACCCGGAACCTCTGTTCCTTACACCCAATCCCCAAATCCCCTACACCCCTTGACTAGCCCAGGGACGCTGCGCTCAAAGAGCAAGCCGTGAGGCCACTGCTGTATGTCACAGCATCGGGCCGGGGCAGAGAGCCTTATGAGACGGAAGGGATTCAAGAAGGGTTTTTCATAAGGGACTCACTTGGGCTTTATGGTTCGGAGTTGACTGCGGGGAGGCTGTTTGGAGGCTCTTCGCAGGTTTGGGTGCTGGGATTGTCTTCGGCTTTCGTGCGTTCGGTGGCCGGGGCGCTGTCACCTCGCATTTTCCACCATGCACGCTGATGTACCAGTTTCATGGCTCACGCAGCTATGTTTGCTCTTCCTGCTTCTTCTGTTGCGACGGCCCTTGAGCTGGTATCTAGTGAACCCAGAGGAACCTGTGGCGTTTGTGTTTCTGCTGTTGTTGATGATCGTGATGACGCGGTCGCCAAAGTCTGCTAAAGTTGCTGCTGCCACTGATGCTGTGGCTGCTGTGGGCATGATGGTGTTGCCGTCTGTTGCACTCGTACTTCCCTTCCATCACCTCCACCATGGCCATCATCCACAGCACTGGCAGATTAAACTGTCATGATCACCATCATCACCATCATCATCATTATCACCACCACCAGCAGCAGCATCAACATCACCATCACCATCGTCAGCATCATCATCATGATCATCATCACCACCAGCAGCAGCGTCAGCATCACCATCACTATCGTCAGCACCATCATCATCATCATCATCATCATCATCATCGTCATCATCAACATCACCATCACCATCATCATCATCATCATCATCATCATCGTGTCAATCTTCATCGTTGCCTTCACCGTCACCTTCACCTTCAGCACATCATCGCTGTAAATGTCCCGTTCGCCTCTTCGCCACTACTGCTCATCAGCTGATGTAATGACCCTCTTGCTCCTCATCATCACACCACTGCCATCACCTTCCTAAGCACCGTCCCGTTCCCACCCTGTACGGCCGTAAAAATCATAATCGCCATCCCGGTGGACCGGAGTCTTCATCACGATCATCATGACCACTGTCATGTTCATCACCGTGGGCCATCATAGTCGGACTTGCTTTTCGATTTCATCACTCTCAAAATAGTCAACACCGTGCTCTGTTAACCACCACCACCAGCGAAAGGCTTTTGTCAACATGACAGTAATTAGTAGGTCTAGCATGAACATTCACACCCGACATCACTGTTATCATCCTTGGCCCGTGGATCAGAACGAGCTTGACCACAGCCCACAGCATCCCTGTAGCATGTCAGATATTGATCATGGTGTATCATAGTCTTGCCATGGCCAGCCAAATTCACGCCATCCTAGAATGCAAGTGACATGATGAGTTGTGCAGAAGTGTGCAACAACAGGGAGTAGGAAATCTGATATCTACACCTCCAGCCAGGGTACACAGAAGGGAGAGGAAGCGCCACCAATGACCTGCCGTTCGTGAGCCGCGCGCACTGAACTTCTAGCCCCCTTTCAGTTGCTGTTTACGGCAGGGCTCTTTCTTGCTCTGAAAGACCTCCTCGAACCTCAGCTTGCGATGCTTATGGTCGCACCCCCACATGGTCACCTTTCCCCGGGTTCTGCAGTCAGCAATATAAAAGTTAAACGTCGTCGTATTGATGGAAAAGGTTCTCCTTGCCCGGTAATGGGGCAAGACTCCGCAGTGGGCACACCATGCAGCAGCCTTTCAAAGCTTGTTTCCTCCATGCGCTGTTTCCCGCACCATCATCTAACGCCCCACGGCTGCAACTCGTTCTATTTTGAGCCTCGTTGAGCGGCCACCCGAGCTTTGCGAATATTGTAGACGTAGTCAAGCAACCGCTGGTTCTCCAATCGTGCATTCAGAAGCTCGTGCTCATGCTGCAATACCTCAATCTCGTTCAGCTGGGCCTCAGCCTGTTGTTCCTGCCCTCGACGACTGCAGCGTGCAGCCCGCGCACGTGCCTTTTGAATCTCACGAGCCCTCTCCCGTCCAGCGGTGTCCAGTCGGTTTCCGAAACGTTGATTTCCAGTCAGGTCTGCCAGCTCAGCACTTCTGCTCGCTGCATTTTGTTCGGTCAGGCTGGTCGCCACGCTTGCCTGCTTTGCTTTGCCAAGTAGACCTGCCTTCAGCATTTCGTGCAGTACTTGCTTGCAAACAAGAAGGCCACAAATCCGCAGAACGTGTGCGTGCGGCCCAGAACGGACTTTCGGAATTGGTGTATTTGCACTTCGCTCCAAGAAACTGCGAAGGCACTCTAAGACTGAAGGGTGCTTCTGCGTGATGACCAGAACAATCGATACTCCCCCACGCGGCTGACCAATCCAACCCTCTGCATCGAAGAAACCTGCAACATACTCCCAACTGCATGTTCCGGCAACTGCAGAGTCATACGTTTTCAACGACCGCAGCTCAGAATAACACTTCTCTCTGCAGGATTGTGCTTCCGGCCACTCAGCCGCGAGGAGGAGCTGCTTCTGCTTTGTGATGCTGTGTGGCGCCATCAGCCGGGCAGCCCTTCTGGCCAGCTCTCCACATACTTGCCAGCGAAGAACAGGCTTGCACAAACCAAGCCCATCCTTGTTTGAAGTGATGCTGCCACCCAACGATTTGCGGAAGAGCATCAAGATCTCCGCCCGATCAAAGCTTTGGTCTATTGCTAACCGGCATCCCGACAAGCACATTTGGCAAGAAACACAGCCATCCCCATCGAAGAAACCAGCCAGAAATCGAACAGTAGCATCTTCGACTTTGTCCGAACTTGCACTTGCCTGTCGTAGCACCGGAAGCGGCAGATCATACACATGGCCCTTTGCTTCAAAACACATCAGCTTGGGCCACGGAGTACTTTTCAGAACAATTCGAAGCTGCATGTTCTTTCTGCCGACTTCGTCGACTTTATCACGCGGATGTACAGCGAGCTTCTCGAGCTCACCAGCAGATGTAGCTTGAAGCTCCAGTTTCTCATGCGTGTTGCCCAACCCGCGTGGCAACGTGTGCCGTAGCTGTTGAAGCGGAAGGGTTGTGCCCCACCACCGCTCAGATTCAGCTGGTCTGGTAAAGCGTAGCTGTCGCACCCACAAGGATCCGACAGCATGCATCTCTAATCCTTCCAAGACTTAGACATGCCAGGTGTGTGACAACTAGGGACCCACAACAGAACCTAAACAAAAGCCATACGGTTGGGATGTCCCATCAGGCATGGAGAGATACAGAGGCCCTTCGGAACCCATGGTTGAGGGAAAGGTGTGCCAAAAAGACACTGTACGGCACTGTACGGGTTTCGGTCGGCGTCGCCCAGATATATGATACCGAAGTATCAGAACATGTGGAAATTCTGATGAAATACCCTCCATGGTCGCCTCCTCCTTATAATTATGACTGTGTCAATGAAACTCCGTGGCCCAATGCAACACATTGAATCGCTGAGTGTCAATGGCGGGTGCCTCTGAATGATCAAAACAGCGAGATGTCGGGATGTGCAGCACGAGGATTGCTAAGCCCTCGTTGACGGCTCGCAAAGAAGACCCATGCAATTCGGCCGACTGTGACCTGAAACCCTAAACCCTAAACCCCAAACCCTAAAACCTCGATCGGGATTTAAGTGTTCAGGCTTGGAGCTGTGCAGCTTAGCTCGAAAGAGTTGGGGTTCAGACTTTCGTGCTGTGGTGTGTTGCAAACGCCTATGTAGGTCTTAGTCTAATATGACAGATCTTGCGCTCGATATGGGCTTGCGCCACCGTCCATGTGTCCCCGCATCCACATTTAAACTCCCGAAGCAGTTCCAAGCGATGAAAGTCACTGATCGGTACACCGCCAAATCCATGAAGGAGACGGGCTCCAAACCCGAAATCCTGTTTTGCAGCTCTTGGTGTTTCACGCTCTCGCAATTTTAACCAGTGACTTGGTAGATTAAGTAAAGCGTGTGCTCGATCCAGGTTTCTATGGCTCCGAATACTGTTATGGCTTTGTTTCTTTGCTCCGGAGACTTTAAATTTATCTCACAGTGGTTGTGAATGGCTCTCTACTTTGCGGTGTGCCTCCGCGGCCACAGGCATTGACAGCACTGTTGAAGCTCATGATTCCTGGCAGCACCTGCACGCAGGTAAATTGTTCGAGTGGTTCAAGGCTTTGGGGCTTCACGACTTCCCGGGCTGAGGTTGTAGGATTCTGCTAATTACTTCCCTCAGCCGAAACATCTGGGCCTTCGAGCTTCAGCGCTATTCTGACTCAGGGTGTGGCAAGCTAGCTGATTGAGGTAGGCTCAGCCGCCTATAATCCTAGAGCCACATAGACACCTAGAACAAGAGCACTCGAATATACTCTAAACCCGATAGCACGCTAGATGCCCCCCCCCCAAAAGTCTCAAACACGAAGATCTAAAGACGGCAAGATACCACAAACCCTCAGCAAAATCGACCTCGCCCAGCCGCAAGGCTCGAAGCACACTGAGAGCCAGCTGCCAGCGACTGCCCTTATCGCAGGCGCTGAGGAGGCTGCTGTAGCCTGAGTTGGTGGCTTAGGGTTTAGGATGGTTTAGGGTTAAATGTAGGCCTACAGATGTTTTGAGGGTTCTTTAAAAGGTGTAGAATGGACTGTCCCAAGTCGGATTCAGGGTTCCTACTCTACTCGATCCAAACGGATGTATGTAAGCCCTCAAAGTATTTCGCACCAGCCCGGCCCCCCACAAATGGGCGACTGACATGCATACATAGGCCCAAAGGCTGATGCGGTTCTAAGGACCCCCCGGAAGAACGCTGCCAATTGTAGCACTGCTTATTCAGGCCATTCGGTCATGACATCTTCCTCGTAGCACTCCGGCCGAGCAGCTGATCTCATTCGGCTGCACATCTGCCAGCGTCAGACGGTCAAACACAGCGACTGCAGCCATCCATTCGCCTGCCTGTGCGCAAATGTTGAGCACCTGAGTAGCGGTCGAAATCCCAAGACTAACTGGGCTTGCGGGCTTCATGTAGGATCCAGTGCTCCCATGCATGGCGGCCTTTCTTCGAGTTTAGGGGCGCCGCTATGCTTTGGAATTGGCTGTCCAACTCATTCCCCAGCTTTCCCTAGAGGCAGATACCGGTGAACCGTGAGTCCGATAAAAGAGTCACACTGTGCGACGACAAGCTGCTGAGTTGTAGGTGACCGTGTCTGGGAGGAGCTTCCTGCGCACCAAGATGCAGCTGTCTCGGATTAGAGTGGCTTTAAGGTCCCGGGCTGAGGCAGTCAGTTGTAGATTTCTCCCAAACTCCAGCGGCATGATCAACTCGCGTCATCATGTCCGTTCATAACCGGAAAGCTTCGTGGGACTCACACCCTGCAGCTGGAGGAATCATTTCCGAAGCCTCCACCAATAACAATCCGGTTTAGAACCTCTTCTTCTCCCCAAGTAAACCCTGAACCCTAAATCCTTTCGGGGCCGTACAGTACGAGCCTCTTCTGCATGCGCTGGAGTAGGTCCAAGGCCCGAGGCCAATCGTAGATCTGCCAAGATGCAGGCACCAAAGTGTTCACTAAAAGGGTTTTGGGAAAGTTTAGGATTTTGGGAAAGCTTAGGATTTTGGGATCTTAAGGTTTCGGGCCTAACCCCTTTTAAACCCGAAGCCACCAATCCTAAGCCATTAAACCTCACCAAGACTGCACACCACTGGCCCAGAGGGCTTTCAACCCTTCGAAACACTCTGATGTTGCAAAGGTTTGAGTTCAGGAGGTTAGTGTTTTCTGGGTGGTGTCTTTTGGGGATTCTCGGATCAGGATTGTCCCTACCCAACTGAAGTCACGAATCCCCAAAAGCCACAAGCCCCTCACCAAAGCCATAACATCTCCAAAGCCCGCCCAAGACCTCAAATCCCAAACCCCAAACCCCAAAACCCTTGAAGGGACCCTTATCACAGAGCCCTTAAAGGAACCCTTAAAGAAGCACTCGTAAAAGCCCTGAGCCAAACGCGGGTTACAGCCTCGGAGAGAGCCGCAATGGCCGAGTTAAAGCTGATCATGTCGGTATGCGGGGCCACTCTCAGCCGAGCCTCTCGCAGGGTGGGGTGAAAGGCTCCAGGGTTGTCTCTTTGACGGTCCTTTTGGGCCTAGGGTTGAGGCTTCAGGGGCTTTGGGCTTTGCGTTTAGGGGTTTAAGGTTTAGCGGTTTAGGTTTATGGTTTAGGGTTGTCGGTGCATGTCGAACTTTCTGTAATTCATGACTCAGTAGAACTCAACGATTGGCAGCAGCACTGAATTACGCATGCAGCTCGCAGCTCGACTAACTTCCATATCGTATAAGCAGAGGAATTGCAGGCTGATGACATTACATGGCCAAGTGCCTGCAGAATCTCCAGGGAATGCTGCCACAGCCCCTGCTGTGCACTGGCTCGGATGAGGCAGTTGTAGGTGACGATGGTGGGTGTGGTGGATACCTGGCGGTCAGAAGTATTCCTGTTCATTGTGCTTCCATATTATTTACCATGATTGAGAGTACTTTATTTTTATTGTGTTATTGCTATTCGTATTATTGTTCTTATTAACAACTGATGTTAGATGAGGTGCCGCTCAGCTGTTATTATCGGCTGATCGCCTGAACCATGCCGCAGGTATCCGCAGGTTGCAAGCCTGGGGACCAAACCCTCAGCCGCAGAATATCACTACCATAACGGCAAACCGTACATGTCCTTCCAGTACATGCCCGCATCCTGCCTCGAACCCCAAAACCCAAAGCACATAACCCCTCACCTAAACCCTCCAAGCCTTAAGCTCCCCCCATGCCGTGAACACATCCCGTGAACAACGGGTCTCGTCCGCCCGCGGCACTTGAATCATGTCCTGCAGAGCCAGAAGAGCTGCGCTCCAGCGACCATCCTCCCGCAGGGGGCTTCCCTTCCTTTTGTCTGAATACGAACAATAACAACACTCACATTGTAGTTTCTGCAGCCGTAATGCATGGCAACAACAACAACTCAGATGATGATGATGATGATGATGATGATGATGATGATAAACAATTACAATGACAGTCAGAAGCAGTAGAGAATGCTGAAAACAGCAGGTAATATCAGTTGTGGCAGTGAGGTGCTGGTATATAATGGCAGCGAGATCCTAAACTCTGATTATGCAAGGGGCACATACATTCAAATGGGTCGTATCTTCAGTAAGTCCTATCTATCTTTTCCAGACGGTACAACAACACTATGCCAAGAGGTCCTCGCCGCAGGCATTCGCGATGCTGTTGTAAAGCACCACGGTGGGACGGAGCCTTGCACTGAGAATATCATGCAAAGGCTGACGAGCCTAAGCATCATCTCCGCAGTAATGCTGATATCATTCAGAACAGAGGGCTACGAAAGGCTCCTATCTTATATCTGTATCTATATCTACATCTTTAAAATATCTATATCTAGCCTACAATGTCTATTCTACGGGGCATTGTAAGGGTTCCTTCAAGGCTGACCTTCGTGCCGCGGCACCCGACCGAGGTGGCCGCAACAGCCAGCGCTGCGGCATGAGGCCAGGGGCCTACGGCCCCGCCGAAGCTGACGATGTTGGGCTCGACCTGTGGCAGCTGCAACGGGTTTTAGGGTTCAGGGTTCAAGGATTGGGGTGTAGGGTTTAGGGATTCTGGTTAGGGGATTTCGTACATCGGTTTCGGTGCGTAAGGGAAGATTCGGGGTTCAGGGCCAAGGGCACACACTTCCGCCCCACTTTCCGCAAGTTCTGCCTGCGTCTCTTTGCACAGCTGTCCGGCCAGGGTTTGGGGTTCTGACGTTTTCGGGTTTAGGGTTTAGGGCTCTCAATCACACATCGAAGCCGAGATTCTCAAACCATAGCTGCTCGCTGCGGTTCCGTCACATGCCGGGGGCAAGCGGCCCTTCCCACGAATTCTGGTGCAAGCTCTTCAGTTTATACAAGTACTCGAGCAACTGCTGGTTTTCACAGCTGGCTTTGAGTAGCTTGTGCTCTTGCTTGAGCTGCATAACCTCAGCCAGCTTGGCTTCGGCTTCTGCATGTTGCCCTCGCTGCTTCAACCTGCTAGCTTGCGTCCGTACAACTGCGATCTTCCTCGCCCGTTGTCGGCCAGCTGCATCCAGACTCCTCCCAAAATTTTGGTTCCCCGTCAAGCGCACCAGCTCAGCGCTGATTTGAGCCGCAGTCTCCGGCGTCAAACCTAAAACCAGCTTTGCTTGTTCTGCTTTACATAAGAGTCCAGCGGCCAAGAGGTGCTGGAGTATCTGCTTGCAGGAGGCCAGCCCGCAAACCAAAAGGACATGTACAGATCCTCCCAGCTTCGTAAGCGTAGCATCCTTGCCTAGGCTTCGGGCTAGAAACTCTTGAAGGCACTTCAGCACCCGTGGCTGTTTTTGCCTGATGTCCAAAGCCAACGAGGCTCCCCCGCGCTGCTGGTTGATGTAGCCCTCCGCATCGAAGAAGCCAGCCAAGTACTCCCAGCTGCACGGACCAGCGACTGCCGAGTCGGAATCCTTCAGAGCGCGAAGCTCGGCTTTGCTACCCTCTCTGCGGGACTTTGCATCGGGCCACTGGGCCGCGAGTAACAGCTGCTTCCGTTTGGTGATGCTGTGTGCTGCCAAGAGCTGAGCTGCCCGTCGTGCCGATTGGCCCCCTGCTCTCCACGTAAGACATGGCCTCCCCAGACCCTGGCCGCCACCCTGCCGCACGATGCTTCCCCCGAATGTCCCGAAAAACAGCATTAAAACCTCTGCTTGGTCAAAGGACTGCCCCACCTGCAAGACACATCCGGACAAGTTTGGCCAACAAGTTACGCAGCCATCCCCATCGAAGAACCCGGACAGGTAAGCCAGCCTGGATTCCGAGGGCAAACGAGACAAGTCCCTGCTCTCGGCTGGCAGCGGCAGGCTGTAGTTTTGCCCATTCGACGAGAAGCACTTCAGAATTGGCCAAGGAGTTTCGTTCAGCTGTACACGAAGCCGCTTGTTCTTCCTCTGTACGTCCTTCAGTGTATCGCCAAGGCCAGCTGCCAAGCTGCAGCACGTCTCAACCCTGGGCTCTGCTACCACTGCCAGGCTCCGGCAGGCACTGGCCCAGCCCACCAGCACCAGCAGGCCACTCCTCCACACAACCCATGGTGCCTTCCTTCTCGCACGCTCTGCAAGTGGAAGCTCGACCCAGCGGCCAGGAGCTCCCATCCGTCTCATTGACGCTTGGGACCTAGGCGGGACCCAAATAGGAGCCAAAGCAGCTGAAGCAAATGAGCTCGGCTTCGCAGCTCAGAACTAGGGTATTAAGATTTGGGCTCAGGCTTCAAAATTTGGGTTTTATTCATGGAGTTTGTTGGGTGAACTATTAGGGTTTGGGGGCAGGCTGCGGCGGACTTTGTGATTTACTGCGAGGTGACGGCAAGATTGCCCGGAACTCTCGATCTCCAAGTCGAAACTGGGCTCTCTCAGATCATCTCCGGCCCAGGCCCAGCCCAACTCCGGAATCAGAAACTAACTTGATAAGAGTGGCTGCCTTAAAGCCCACACTGTCAACAGCTCCAGGTTTGCAAGATATCCTCGGGATCCAGTCTCTGAGTCAGGGCACCAAGGACGGACGGTCGGCTCTGACTGCATGGGATGGCATTGGAGCAGATGCCGAGTCTACTTGGAGGATCCTGGGACTTCGTAACTAGGGCTATAAATAGGATATCTATAACTAAGACCCCAATCAGGGGACTTATAACCTTACTTACTAAGTCCCAGGATCCTCGAAGTAGGGCACCCGGTTTGGGAGAAGGGCTCTTTCTTGGCACCTTCGATCGCAAGGTTTGGAATGCTCCAACTCTTGACCGGGGGAGCTTGGCAGAGGACGCAGAGTTTAGACAGAATAGAAGAGCTGAATATGAGAGCCGATAATTTTTTCGCCACTCTTCTAACTTGCGGCCGTTTGTCACACAAACCGCTCTCCAAAGAGGCTGCAACCACGGTACCGGGTCCAGAATCCTCTACGGTCTACACCAAAACAGTTCGGCAACATGCCAAGTAGTGACCACACAGGAATTTTACAGTCAGACTTTCCTGAAATGGGGTAACAGGCTAGTATGAACCTTTGCCCAATAAGCTCCCGGTTCGGGTAAGATAAGAACACCCCTCCCAAACATTGCTAGGTCCCCCACTCGTTCTTTATCATTAGACTCCTCTTAAATTTCAACAATGGTAACACAAGAGCTAGAACAATTCGAACAGGATCGTGACATACTGCCCTAGCATCTCTAGAACTGGACAAAAAAGACGAAGGCACATGAAAGTGTGGCACTACCGAGCCCACAAAGCCAATAAGCCCTACAGCCCTGAACCCCGGAACCCTAAACCCAGGGAAAGACTTTTAGGAGAGCCTCGTTGCAAAGTGCCGCCAACAAGGCCGCAGCGCGAGCCCAGACGCCCGCACGCGTGGCCGCAGCCACCTCGGGAAACAAGTAGGGATTGCAGTTCCTTTAACGGTTTCTTCACGGCCTCCTTTGAGGGTTCCGAAGGTTGCAAGCTTGAGGGTTGAGGGTGACCGCTAGCGTCCACACAACACGGATCTAATTGTTTGGGGCTTGCTTCTTGAAACTTCCGTTTGCGGCATAGGGTTAACGGTTTGGTTTCTGTTTGGTATTGGGGGAGGGATGGGCCTTGTGGCACTGCAGGGGTTCGAATTTAATGCGGCTAACACAAGGACCTTAATGGTTGGACCAGGGTTTGGGGGATGATACAATAGTAGAAGTTTAACAGGGTGCACGGGCTTATGACGATTAAAGCTATCAGTTGCACAGACCCTGGTTTTAGAGGTAGGGGCTTACGGCTTGGAGGCGGGGGAGACCTGGAGATCATCAAAACTGCTCCCTTCTTCTCTATCACTCTCTCGGGACATTTCCGGATGCTGACAATCACGCAGTGCAGCCATGTAATCAAGTTTCGGGCTATCTTCACAGAATGCCTGAATTTACCTGAAACTGACGAGACCCACCATTTATTATGAACCCCAAAGCCCGATAAAAGCCCGATAACTCCGACAAGAAGAACCCCTAAAACAAGTCTATGATAATTACTTCCTCGATGTCAGTGATTCCGATAAATCAGCCATAAACCCTCAACCCCACACATGAACCCTAAAACCCGTTTTCATCCCTTGTACCTTTGCAAACCCGAAACCCCTTTCAGTCTCGCTGCGACGCCGTTCCGGCAAACTACGCTCTCCGAAGCCAAACGCGGCGCACCCAGGTGCAGTGCTCTTGTCCAGGTCCTTGGTTGTAACTCTACATGAAAGATGCGTAGTTATGGGTTTATACTGGGCTTTCAATTTCTGCCTTTTTTGGATAAAGTTGTGTGTGTTTTAGGTGGCTTCTATGGAGGGTATTTTAGGGTTTTATGATGATGATGATGGTGATGATGATGATGATGATGATGTTATCGGGTGTCGTATCGATGTTACATCGATATTACAAGCAGATTTCTTTAGCGTAAGGGACATGGATGCTATACACTGTGTAGGCTCTCATATTTTTGGGTCCACTATCAGCAATGCCGGGTTTTTAAGGGCTTGGGGCAGAGTTTCGAATTGAGAGTTAAGGGGCTGCGGAAGGTTTGAGCATGTGGGAAGGAAGCTGAATTTTGCATGTGGATGGCAGAAGGATCAGGGTTCAGACTTTGGGCTCGAGGGTCTCAACCCGAAAATCAAAACCGTGGGGTTTGACGAAAGAAACAGAAACGAAGGCCGCTGACCGCGAGCTCTACTCAGAATGTACGATGCCCTCCTGAAAAGCAGAGCAACCGGAACCATAATTCTTAAACCCTCAAACCGCTCAACACTCAAAGGATAGGATCCAATTGCAGCTGGACTTCTGGGTGGCTGTGATGGAGCTGCTGTAGCTTCGAGCCTGGGCCACTTTTGGGCTTTAGGCGGTCTCGTAAGCGTAAGCTGCTCAAATAGCTTATAGCTGGTAACAGGTAACAGCCATGAGAGCCCGTTCTGCCTCGATTGAAACCCACTCGGGGGCTTGCCAATAGCTGCAACATGCTGCGGGATGCCAGTTCCTAAAGGCAGCGGTTGATTAGGCCAGTTGCAGTGGGCCGGACGAGCTTTTCCGGCATCTCGCGAAGCAAATGGCACGCTGGCCTTAGGCTGAAGTTCGTGAGTTGAGTTCAGGCCCAGTGCTCGGGGTTGAGGGATTTTGGACTTTTATTGCAGGGCGCGGGGTTTAGGGTTCTGGGCTCAGGGTTGTGGATTTTGTTTCTTACCAAGCAGGCACCGACCCGGCTAAGGCAGCAACCTGTGGACTCAAGATGGTGTACGCCTTTGTCCTACTGCCAGTTTATTTGTAACGCTTATAGAGTATATTCTGCTTCTAACTGCCGATGGTAGCATGATGCTACTGATCGCAGTAGACTGTGTTAGACGGGTGCTTTGCAAGGAGCCCTCCAGATAAGGTAGCAGTCCACAGCAAGTTCGTAAAACGGGTCCACACTCTCGGGAAGTAGTTTGCCGTACCCCAACTAAGTTAACAAAGCCTGGGCGCTTAGAAACCCTCACCGTGCCGATAGCATCCTGCGTTTTCCAACATGCCAAACGTGTAAACGTCTAAGTAAGCCCTAAACGCTAAACCCTAAGCCCACACACGCGCGTATCA